TGAGGTGCGTGCCATAGCATAGACCAATTTGTAGAGAAAGAAGAATCAAAATCATATTTTGTTTCAGAATTAATTTATATAGTGGTAGTCTCGATAGGGTGATTGAATTTAAGAATTTGATTGGGAACTTTTCAGGGTGATCTGAGTCAATTGTGTCAATGCTCAAGAAAACATATGGATCACCTAGTAGTCTTCCAACAATGTTATTAATTATTCTGAACATGTCATCATTGAGTGAGGTGAGAATGACCTTTGAGACAGCTGTGTAAGTATTTATAATGTCATTGGTATTTGGGAAAATAAAGTCTACAATATATTAAATAGTGCATGTGGTATTTTGATAATTTCTAGTGGGAGATATAGCAAATGCAAACTACTATCTCCATTACCAAGTTTGAGAAACCATTCAGAAAAACAAAGATTGCTTAAACACATGTTCTTTGTTAGTATTAGTGTTGTAAAGAGTGACTATAATCTATTCATTTTAACTGAGCTTGAAATAATAGAGGTTCTAGGAACAATTGAAAGGATTTAATGAAAGCCACCACTTGTAATCACTATAACACCTTCAAATGGTTTAAAATTATATTTGAGATGCTTTAAACATTTAGCAATTGCAGAGAAAGCATGTGTGTGGACCATATTAATTTCATCCCATATGAGAACATTTGCTTGTTTAATGGTTTTTCTAGCAACATTATTAATTGTTAAAGTAGAGACAGAAGTTTCATTTAAAGGAATAGGAAATTAAAAAGTTCTATGTGCCATTTGACTATATTTTAGCAAAATGCTTGCAATCCTAATCCATGCCATATTGATTACTTTTATATTTTAATTGTAATGCTATAATGATGGTATTAAATAGAAAAGTTTTCTCAGTACCACCAAAAAATTAGTCACTTACACCACCTTGATAACACTCTTCAATTAACACAATGCTATAAGACATCATTTCTCTCATTTGTATTTGCACATGCTTTATCTCCACTTTGTAAGGAATTAATTTCTCTAGGTGTCATAGGATAAAGGATCCTTGAAACCATAATTGGAATGATAAAGAGTTTATCAGATAAGACTGAGTTCAAGATCGATTTCGAGATTGAGTCCGAGACAGAGTTCAAGTTCAAAACTAAGTTCGAGATCTAAGATTGGGTTTAAGACTGGGTCTAAGACTGGGTCCAAGACCGAGTCCGAAACTGAGTCTAAGGTCAAGTCTAAGATAGAGTTTGAAACCAAGTCTAAATATTAGTTGTGGGATGAAAGCCCAAAGTGATCGTCTCCTACGGGGGGAGGGGGCATTTAGGGTTTCAAAAGTATAGTAGGGATTAGGGATATTAAGATTCAATAGTGCTTTTAAATTGATTTGAAGTTGAGATTGGGGGTTAAGGGCCTTGGGTGGGAGTGAGCATGGACTCTAGAGTGGCCACCCAAGGAAATGCTTAAGAGCAACTCCCACTTCCAGAAGAAAACCAATTACAATGCTCCCAACTCTTATAGAATAATGCCCCATTTAAGTATTTTGTGGCTTATTGGTCCTCACTCCTTCTTAAGGGTTTAGGCCTTCCCTTTGGGAAGGAAAAGATATCTCTATCGGGCCATTAGACCATAATGTTTCCCCCCAAGGTCCTAAAGCAAGTGATGCACCAAGCACTTAAGATTTAGAGGGTTTTATGATCAAATTTTATTGTACCAAGGGATATTAAAAACTTGAAGGTTTAGAGTGCTTAGCTACTTATGCCTGTGGGGATTGTAACCAAACATTAAGTTTAGTATAACTTAAAGAGGGGGATTAAAAGAGAATTTGGGAATTCATGGATGGATAACTAACACTCTGTTGCTTATACAAGATTGTGGTTGCATCAGATTCATGTAATTTAGCAATAATTTTGATGTTTAAATTTATAAAACTATAGTATTTTGCAAAGATGTTCATAAGTATTAAGTGTTTGAAGGGTTTTTCTTCCTCCATGATTATTGTAGTGAATGTCTCCACAAATACATTAATTTTGTTGTTGCAATAGTTCATGTTAGTATGAGAAAAATTTGCAACTTCCACAACAGTTTGAACTGATGCAAACTCTAGATCATCTAATATGTTAATCTATTGGCATATTTAACTTTGTATAAATCAAAAGACTTTAGAAATGAATACTAAATTGTATAACTAACTCAAATAACCTCTAGTGGAGATGGTGCAATTATTAAAAGACATCATTACAATCATTAGTATGTCTAATATGTGCTTGAAGACATCTAGGAAAACACTCCAATCCATAATCAAATGACTACACATAAACCATTGTACCACTACAATCCCATCTCTTGGATACATATGGGAAATTTAGGCATCATCCCAAGAATGATAAGTGGTAATCACCATAAAGTGATTGAACCAATAGTGCATATTATCCCAAAATTCCCATGGAAGAAATCTAATAGAATATGAGGATTAGTAGCAAAAGCAAAAGAAATTATACCACATGCCATAAAAGTTGCCATCAACTAAATCTGATTAGTCAACTTTGGCCACATAACATTAAATAGATACAATAATTATTTCTCTAGAGTCATAGAAGGAGGAAAGAGTATGTTGTTTTACTATGAAGATAAATAGAAAAAAAATGAAAAATCAAAAGAAAAAAAATAAAAAGTTATAAAAATAAAAGAGATCTAGACAATGCAAAAGTTAAATCTAAACAAAAAGCACAAATCCAAGCACTTTTCAGGAACAACTATAGTTACCCCTCATCTCTACTAATGTGAGAGCATAAAATACAGAAATGAAATATAAAAATGTACATATTTGATTATGGTTTATATACAGTGGGGAGTAGTTTAGATTAAAACCAATTGAGTAACAATTAAAATCCCATTACAGTAATAATAGTATATGGCATTGTAGTTGTACATTTGGTAATTTCTACTTAATTAATTTAATTTTAATATATTTTGGCTTTCTCCATTTTGAATAGTTTTTATTTTTATTTTTTTTATTAATTAATGATCTCAATCATATAGATAGAGCTAGACAACTAAAGATTTTTAATAAAAATTGAAGCTCACTTTATGTAAGTTACTATTATTTTTTTATGTTAGAGAATTATATTAAGAAAAAAGGTTTATTGAAATCTCTTTATTTTGTTGTAGTTTTCTGAGATAACAAAGCTACTATTACATAATATATTCTGCTATAATCCATGTACTTAATACTTTACAAAAATCTGGGAACTCCTTAAAATAATAAAATTTACAGCTAATTTCTTAAGAACATTTTCTAGCTCTCTTTATTATATTGTAGTTTTCTGAGAGAACAAAGCTACTATAATCTGCTATAATCCACTTACTTAATACATTAAAAAATCTGGGAACTCCTTAAAATAAATTTAAAATTTACAGCTGATTTCTTAAGAACATTTTCTAGCATAATGTCAAGAGCACAAGTACAAAAGTGCTTAGCTCTAAAATTCTCTTTAGTCATTTGCTCACAACCTCAAATATAGAAAAGAATAGAGAATTTGATCATTTATCCAAAATAAATAAATGTACAAGTAAGAAAGCATTCTAGACCGATTTAAAATTAATAACTTGAAACATATACTATGAATGGGGTCAAAGTATACATTCTAAAATAGATCATAATTCATGGTAGGCTCTGTAAGACAGGATATTGAGATAGATCAAAATCAGCCCCACAGGATTCATTTGAACATTTGCTCAATTCACCTCTGCAATTAAATCTTGGAGCTAAATCCCCTCACTTCACAGAGGATGCCAAAACCCGGCATTTGCACTCAGGTAAGAAACGCTTGACGGGGGGTGGTCACGAGAACATTACACGTATTACGACACGTGATGAGATCGGCATTCATGAGGACCTAACCTAACAAGTTCGGCTAAAAGGGCTGCCATAAATCCAGCATGTGAAAGCATTGTTTGTTTGTCAAGGAAACTTTCTCTGCTTTCTTTGTCTCGCTGCTGGGCTTAGCTGGCTGGCAACCAAAGATCGGAATTGACCTTTTGTTCTTTCTTGAAAGGGGGATTGCATTTGCCTTTAAACGGCTAGATTGCCATTGGATAACGAGTGTGTGGTTGGGTTGGCCCAGCTCTCATATATTCTCCACCATTTTTTCTTTCTTCTTTATTCTATAATTTTATTTTATTTTGTTTGATTTGTCACAGTTTTATGCCTCTGCGAAACCCAAACCCCCACATTCCTGTTGACAGAGCGATAAGGTTTGTGTGATCCACGTTTCCCAGCACCGACTAAACAAATTCGAGGTACGGAAACGCGGACAGTACGAACTGGTGGTACGGAGATCTTCTAGAGATAATTTGAAAAAAAAAAAGGAGAAGAAAACTAGAAAATTAAAAAGATGATGATTTAGACAACAGTGGCCTGGCTTGACTTTGAGGGTGTAAGTGGGACCGAGGTTTTGCCCTTTGCTTTGGAGACCAACGGGCTAACATCCATCCATTTATTTCTAGAATGAGCGCTGGCTTGCCGTGTCCTTCATAAACTTTGCTTACTCGCCAGAGGATTTCACTAAACAAATCCCGGCATTTTAGTCTAATCAACCTCTCGATCCATCCAATGGGCAGGCGGAATCTAGCAGCATCTTTTCCGCTTTGCGGACAGGGCGATGGAGAATTGAAGAAACCAGCAGTCAGGTCAATCAATCAATCAACAATTAGAAAGATCTCAAGAAACTAAAAACTAAGCGGAGATATCATGGACAATTGGGAGAGAGGGAATGGCGAGACCAGCCATGAAAACAAATCCGCCAGCTTAAACTATTCGTTCTGGGGATTTGCCTAGAGCACAGAAACAAGCACTTGTTTACACGCAACACAAGCCACAGCCAGGCTCTCTCTCTCGATCTCGATCCAGCAGCACAAAGAAATCTCCAGCGAAAAATCTTCTCACTGTTGATAGGAGCTGCTGCCCAATGTTAGCGAGCCTTTGCTGCTGCGATCAATTATAAACAAAGGCCTGGGATTTGTGCGTGTGTGTGTGTGATTGTTTAAAGTATCAACCAGTTTATACTTATACAGAAGGTAGTATACACTCGAGTCTACTGCTTGGCTGCAAATCCAAATCCCCTCGATGCAGAGGGGAAGAGCTTCACTTTTTGAAATTCCTCTGCCCATTGTGACTTGCATGCTTAAATAGAAGAAGAAAAAGAAAAAAAAAAAAATTGGAGAAAAGTACTGTAGATTGTTGATTGGCTGCTGTTGTTGATGCTGTTGGTTGTCTCTCTGTGTGTACATATTACATAGGCCTAAGAATTTCTGTGAGGAAAAAGCTGAGAAGAGAAAAGAGAGCTCCCTCCACCCATGAGGATCAAGATGATGGAGTCACCACAAAATGGTAATGAAACAAAGAGAGGGTAAACAGTTGATGGAGAACACAAGATTACAGAAGAGGACTACAGAAGAGAGGGGGAGAGAGAGAGAGAGAGAGAACAGAGATTTTAAACAAAATTTTGGAGTTGGAGGAGATGAAAATGGAGGTGTTAAAAATGGAGGAAGTGAGAGAGTGATGGAAGTAAGAAATAAAAGAGAGAGAGGGAGAGGGAGAGAGAGAGAGAGAGAGGGGGGGTTAGGTGGGATCATGAGGAGCATCTGTAGGTGACAACCTCTTGTTACCAAAAGTGTGCTTGTTATTGTGCATCCACACCTTGAGGACGTGCCGCTTGACGCCCGTGTCGGCGCAAAACTGCGCCACCTCCGCCTCGTCGTGCTTCTGGATCCGCCACCCCAGCTTCTCCGACAGCACAAACATCCGCTCCTTCTGCTCATTGGTGAACTTCGTCCGGAACCTCTTCTTGAGCGGCTGGCCACCGCCGCCGCCGCCGCCGCCGCCGCCACCGCCAAAGTCCGCCAGCCGCTTACCGCCGCCGTGCCGCGCGGTACCGCCCGGCGTGCCGCCCGCGGTGCCGTCGTCCTCCTTGCACAGGTCGCAGATTGGCTTCTCGCCCTCCACCTCGCGGCGGTGGAAGTTGCGGTGGCAGTCGCAAGCGCCGCAGCGCATGGAGCTCTCGTCCTCCTTGTTGGGCATGAACTCACCGCAGCCGTCTAGGGCATGGCCGCCGATCCCCGCGGCGTGGTTCTTGAGGCACTCGCGGTAGCGCACCGCCTTCTTGGTACCGTCGGGCTTGAGCAGCGCCAAATCTTTGCCGGGGTCGATCGATGCCGCTGCCGTGTTGCCGTTGTTGGATGCCGCCGCGGCCGCTGCCACTGCCGCGGAGGAGAGCTTGGCGAGATTTTGCTGCTGCTGCTGCTGCTGCTTGGCGGTGGGGGTGGAGGAATCGTGGGCGGCGGCTGCCGCGGCGGCCGCGGCCATTGCCCCCGCGACGAAGCTCGGCGGCATGGGAATGGTGAGATCCGGGCGGATGCTGTTAGCGCTGCTGCTGTTGTCGTGCCCGCTCAAATCCATCCGATGGATGCTTGCCTCCGGGAGATTTCTATCTATCGCGATGGAAGATTTCTTCCTTCGTCCTCTTCCCTCTCGAAATATTCCTTGTGTGTTCTTCCCCTCTCTCTCACAGGTGGAAGAAGAAACCCTGCCTGTCTTCCAGACGGCCCTGAAACCCCCCCCCCCCCGGCGAGCTAGCGGACGAATGCCGCGCGGATTTCTTCCTCCTTGCGGCGAGATGGATGAGGATTTCCTGTGGCAGCAGCAGCCGCAATGGAATGGAATGGTAGAGGAAGAACAAGCAAGAGAGGGAAATTTTTGCCGGAGGAGATAGAATCGTCGACCCGGTGCGGCGGAGCGTCGTCACGAATTGAATCGAAGCGATGGAGGAGTGGAGCGAGCAGCGCCTGGGATTCGCTCCTCGTCGCTCATCCACGCGCGGCGCAGCGAATTCGGCCGCGGCCGCTGCTGCGCGAGAGGAGCAATCGCCGCCCGGGCGCCATACAACCCTGCCAAGCGCTCCAGCGAGAGAGAGCGAGGGAATCGAAGGAGAATAGGGATTGAGGGGGGGATTGAGGAGGGAAGAAACGAAGGAGAGAAAATGAATGGATGAAGAACAACGAGAAGAAGATGGAGGAGGAGGAGGAGGTTACTTAAAAGTGCTTAAACACATGGCTTTGTTAAGCCTAACTAACCCGGTTATAACACGAGGGGGTTTAAAGTAAACGGAGGGGGATTAGGACACAAACACTCCGTCAGTCTGACGGCGGGCAAAGCCGTCGCTGTTGGTAATCAAGACAAGTAGCATATTCCTCCTGCCAACCACGTGTCGGTGTTTTAGTGGGTGAGTTGTCTGTATACGTGGCAGAATGTGGCATTGCCACGTCGTGGAATCCAAAGCGTTGGGCTCTTTGTTTTGGGCAAATGTGACGGCTCGCACGGAGAATTGGTTTCTAGGTCACAGACATCTCACGTCCAGGCAAACTAGTGGAATTGTGGTTGGAGTTATAAATTACTATGACATATCTCCTTGGATGCATAATTCACAAGTTGGCTCAGAGAGTGAGAGGTATAGGTTCAAATAAGATTTTATGCAAAATTCCTTCGCATTAGAGCATGGGATCAATTCTCTATGCTATGCAACTATACATGACTTAAAGTTCGTCAAGGAAATTTCTAGCTGATCCTAGACTTTGATACCAAAATAAAAAACATATAAAGTTCTCTAATCTGTAATTTTCTCATTTAATTTCTGAAATCCATATACAAGTTTGATTATCTGTATCATACACAACTATGTGACCAGTGTTTTCTATACAAAGTGCAAACATAACCCATTCATTTTTCCAATATATACTATTAGACCATATAACATTTAGATATTTATCATATACAGCTAAATTGCCATCTTTTCTTATTTGAAAGAAACATCCAACACCTTTTTTATTAGTTTTTGTATTCCAAATTACTAGTTTCCCATAATAAAGAACTAAGTTACAATCAAATTGCATATATAAAATATATAGCTGATTTGAAGATAATAAAAAAGCCCCACTTACAAGCATTGAAAAATAAGAAAGTAATGGCCCACTTTTAATACAAGTTTTATAAATAGGACAATCATAAGCATCAAGTTCCAAATGATAAATGCTATTTATATTTTGAACTGGGAGTTGAATATTTTCATATGTTTCTATGGTATAAGATATTGAGTAACGCTCATCTATATACTCAACATATTTATAAGTGACAAAATCATTTAGAACATGGTCATTTAGAAGTTTCATAAATTGTTTTTTTAAAAATTTACCATTATTAGATAAATGAAGATTAGGAATAAGGCTACATAATACTTTAAAATAAATAAAAGCACTTTGTACATCAAAAGCCTCTATTGTGACCATTATATCTTTATTTTTACCATGTATTACCTTTGAATATGAAAATCCTATAAAAGTTTCTTTTCTTTCACCTGCTTTTGAAATAAGTTCTAAAACAATTGGAATAATAACATTTTGCCTAAACTCTATTGTTATAGTACCTTCTGGCTTTTCATAATATTTACTTAAGCATAAGCAATATGAAATAAGAAAAGAAGAAATTATTTTTAATATGCTATACATTTAATTGTTAAAATCCTCAACCTAGTTTAATAATAAATGTTTTTAAATTTTCTTGTCAGCTGACACATGTGTAGAAACTAGAAACAGTTATATTAATATAATAAACACAATGCATTTTATATATATATATATATAAAATATAATAACATGTATTATATTTTGGCAAGCAAAAGCACATAGTGCTAAATGATTTCTTTAGTTATTAGATTATTATTAAAAATTATTTGTAATAGTTTTCCTATTGCTTCTTTATTTAATAATGGCATCAAATCTAATATATCTAATTTTGAACCCAATATAGGGCAATGATCTCAATTGGATGGCATTGGATCTAATGAGAGGATGTGTTAGTTCGAATGGTCCATGGGAGAACTCACATCTCCCCCCACTTCCTTGCCAGCGTCTCCCAGCTCCTGAAAGACGATCTCGCCCAGCAGCTCAAGAAATGCACCGATCTCAACACTGGGAAGCTCCTCCATGCCCGGGTCCTCTCCTGCGGCCTCTCCCAGCATCGCATCCTCGCCCATCTCTTGATCCAAATGTACGCCCGCCTCGAAACCAATCTCGACTCCGCCACGCGCGTCTTCGATCAGCTCCTGGTGAAGGACTGCGTCTCTTGCTCCGTGATCATGACCGCCCACATCCAGCACCGGCAATTGGATCAAGCCGCGGCGATCTTCCACGGTAGCCCCGGACGAGACGTGGTTTGCTGGAATGGGATGATCTCAGCGTTTGGGCAAAGCTCTCACGCCGCCACAGCGATCCAGTTCTTTCACAGGATGCCACAATGGAACACCGTTTCATGGAACTCCCTCGTTGCAGCATATGCCCGAACTGGGCATCTTGTGGAATCTAAATCCACGTTCGATTCCTGCCAACATAGAGACATCGTGACATGGATCAACATGCTAACTTCATACAGTACACATGGAAAGTTGGCGGAAGCACGTGCCGTGTTTGATTACATGCCGGAGTGGACGGTGATAGCGTGGAACTCAATCTTTACAGCGTATGCCCATGAAGGGTATCTTGTTGCAGCTAAAGGTGTCTTTGATGAGATGCCAGAAAAGAGCCTCGCATCGATCAACGCGATGATAAATGCCTACGCTCAAAAGTCCCAGCTCCAGGAGGCGCGTGCCATGTTTGAGAAGCTTTCGGCGTGGGATATCCTCTCGTGGACGACGCTGCTCCAGGCATATGCCGAGAACGGGAATATCCCCGAGGCAGAGGAGATATACTCGAGAATGCCGGAGCAGGACGTGGTCTCCTGGACCGCAATGGTGGCGGTGTACGCTCAATCGGGGCAATTGGATCAAGCGAAATTTCTCTTTGATCGAATGCCACGAAGAAACGAGGTGTCGTGGTGTGCAATTCTCGCTGGTTTTGGTGGAAACCTCCACACTGCCGAGGCGAAGGGGTTCTTTGATCGGATGCCACTCCACTCCCCAGTGGCTTGCAACACCATGGTGTATAGCTTTGCGCAAAACGGCTGCCTCACTCAAGCAGTGGATCTGTTTGTGAATGTGAGTGATCACAATGTTGTGTCGTGGAATATGATCATCACAGCGTTTGCAAACAAGCGCGAGATAGATCGAGCTAAGCACCTGTTTGATCGCATGCCCGGATGGAACTCGGCATCGTGGAGCACCCTCACAGCTGCATATGCCCAAACTGGCGATCTTGTTTCTGCGAGAAAGATCTTTGAGACAATGCCCGAGCATTGTGCTTTCTCGTGGAACACGATCATTGCCGGGTATGCCCAATCCGGGCAGCTTGTTAACGCAAAGTCTGCCTTCGATGCCATGCCCGAGAAGGATCTGATAACTTGGAACGCGATGTTGGATGGCTACTCGGAGAATGGTTGTGGGCAACAAGCCATGGATCATTTCAACTCACTCCAGCTCGAGGGAGTGATCCCAAACGAGATCTCGTTCCTGGCGGTTTTGATCGCGTGTAGTCACATTGGCGCGCTCCATCAAGCTTGGGAGAAGTTTGCGTCGATGACTTCAGACTATGGTTTACAACCCGTGAGAGAACACTACTCCTGCATTGTTGACAGCCTTGGGCGGTCGGGACGGCTGCTTGAAGCAGAGGAACTGATCAAGAATATGCCGTTTTCGCCGGACATAGCGATCTGGAACTGCTTGCTCAGTGCCTCGAAGCTATACCAAGATGTGGTTCGAGGAAGAGTGGCGGCCGAGAATCTTATAGACATTGATCCTGATGAGCCCGTAGCGTATGTTATGCTTTCAAAACTCTATGACTCTTTGTTCTTATAATGCTTGAAGCCCTGGCTTACGTAAATTACAAACTTGTGACAGGAATGTTGGGCTTGATGCTCGATCTTGGTGGCTCCAAGGACCACACTACAACCTTGAACTCCTCCTCGCCAGTGGCCAAGAGGAACACCCTCGACAAGCACCCCAATGTCTAGTAGGGGATCTCCTCCCACTGTTTGACGAAAGGGATTCCCAACGTAGAGCTTTCTAAGCTTTATGGAGCGAGCGAGCTTGAGGCGCCTGTCTTGGGAAACGGCGCACAGGCAGCTGCAGCATGGTAGCGCATCATCTTGATACAATTCTTCCCAGGGAAGAATCTAGGTTGGCGACGTCTACACCTTCACTCGCGGCCCATGCGGAATGGTGTCAACACAACAGTGTTGAGCGCTCTGAGATTTTTCTAGAGCACCCTGTACTCGTACAAAACACGTTGGCTTGTATGAGTTTGATGTATCATGGACAGGGATCTGGGTCTCCATCTCAGTCCGTCTGCTTGGCGAGCTGGAGCGAAAAGCTCTACATGGTGTGGATGGATGGCGTATTAAAGGAGATTTTTGCAAAGACGGGTGTTGAGATTGCTGTGGTGCAACATGTTGGATCTCCACTTTTATAGTCAGAAATTTATGTAAAAAGGAATATATAAAATAATTTAGTGTTATTCCTATTTATTAATCTAATTGATCAAATGGAAGTTTATAATTATAAACATATTTATAATTTATAAACACAAGATTAATATAGAATTAACTAGAATATACTAGGAAGTGTTTAGGAAAGTTTATAAATTATAAATACAAAATTAATTTAAATGAATAGCAACTATTGAATATCCTAGCATATCGAAGCATATTTTAGGTATATTCACTACCACCTCACTCTAAAAAAGATTAAATAGAGATCAAGCTAAAATTAAAGCCTTGAATTATCTTTATTGTGCACTAAAACTGTAAGGCCAAAAATGAAAAACGTTAATTTATAAAAAGTAAAAGTTGGATTCCCGTCAATTGTCTCCTTTATAATGCCACATTTATATGAATTTTTTTTAATCCAGTTGTGTTAATTAGAGCGAAAGTAATCTAAACAAAATATTGCTAAACAGAAAATCCTGTAAAGCATCTGAGATATTCCGCTATCTATGGCAGCATAAACCCTAGAAAAAGGCGAAAGGGATCCACCAGGTAAGCATACGCTTGCGCGATCGATCAGTCGCCTCGCTTGCAGCAATGCGGTAGCAGCAATGAAGAGATTGCAGTCGAGCAATGCGAGACGGACCCGCTTCTCGAGGTCCGCCTCCCTGCCTGGAGCAGCGTCGCCGCGTCTCAAATTCCATGGCTGGAAGACGAGCGTCGCGGTGATACTCGGCGGCACGCTGCTGCTCGTCTCGGTCTTCTATCTCCAGGCGCGGCTGGGCGGATTTGGGTCGGTACTTAGCGGATCGAGCAGCGTAGAGGATGGGAAGGATGATTTCTCGGTCCAAGCGCAGAGGCTCAAGACTATGGGAAGAAAAGCAGCGGTGGAGGAAAGTAGCGGCAAGAAGATGGAACTAACCGACTTGGAGCAAGAGAATGCCGAGTTTGAGAGCTTGGATAGAGCAGCCGAGGCCAAGATGGAGGAGCTGGAAGACGAGGATATGGAGCTAGACGATGCGGTGATCGAGGACGTGGATGTTTTGAGGCAGGATCAAGAGGCTCGGCGAGAGGAAGAGGAGGAAGATCTAGAGGGTGAAGAGGGCGATGAGGTAGAGGACGAGCAAGATCAGGATGTTCCAGTTTCTTTTCGAGGGGATGCGGATTCGAAGGGTGGTGATGGTGGTGGCGATGAGAAAGTTACGAGGAACAAGACTGAGAAGAGGTTGGAAAGGCTGGGCCAGATCAAGAGTTTGGAGCGGCATAGCCCGGAGGAGAGTGGGAAGAACGAGAACGAGACTGGGAGAGTTTTGTGGGACAGTGTTCTTGGTGTGATCAAGATGCCGGTGGACGCAAAGCCTGCCGTTTTTGGTGGACGGAAGCTTGGACTTGGGAAGGATTCCTTCCAAGCTGAAACTAAAGATGCTGGGAGGGAGAAGCTGGCCTTTAGCAGCGACGACGAGCCTTTGGATACGAACCAAGTTGTGGACTTTGAGGACGCTCTCTTTTCAAGGAGGGAGAAGCAGGCTAGCTCTAAGCTGCTAGGTGCGAGTGCCTCTCAGAAGCAACGCGTTCCGCCTAAGAACGTTTTCGACGCGAGGTTTGCGAAGAGGATCCTCCGGCCACCTTTCGATCCTACAGGGAGCGCACTTTTGCAAGACCCAGACACTCTGGAACCTTGGGGGCTCACCAAGAGCGACCGAGCAATGTCCCGGAGCTTTCGAAAATCCGCGATGGAGGAAGCTGCTACTAGCGACGCTAAAGAGAATGCGGAAGACAAAAGCGTCGAGGTGGAGGGGAAAGCAAAGGCCGGGAATGGCAGGAAAGAGCTGCTGGAAACGCACGAAAAGAGGAGAAAGCGAGCAAAAGGAGACACTCGGAGATGGGGGTACTTTCCAGGTCTCGACTCGATGCTATCGTTCTCCGAGTTTATGGAGCGTTTCCTCGGGGAGAATGAATGCGAGCTCAACGTTTTCCAAGCGTGGAACTCGCCACCCTGGTCGTACACAGTGCGGCATCAGCGAGGACTCGAGAGCCTGCTTCACTTCCATCCGAAAGCTTGCGTCGTGGTCTTCTCGGAGACCATGGAGCCTGGTTTTTTCGATAAGTTTGCGAAGAAAGGGTAAGGACTTTCTTAGATGTGCTGGTGACCCGAGTCGTTTTCTCTTTGGCAGGCTGAGAGTGGCTGTCGTACGTCCGAACCTCGAAGAACTCCTGGAAAATACACCAGCCGAGATGTTTGCATCCGTCTGGGTGGAGTGGAGAAGAGTCGAGCTTTTCTACATCCATTACAGCGAATTGCTGCGTCTGGCGGCTCTGTACAAGTAAGTTTCAATCTTTTCTCCGAGCACAAGATAGATCTTCTCTGTCTTACTTGTATCTGATTTGTGCAGGTATGGAGGAGTGTATCTGGATTCCGATGTGGTTGTCCTCAAACCGTTAACTTCTTTGCAGAACGCGGTGGGGATGGAAGCTCTGGCCGATGGCAAAACGAGGCTAAACGGCGCGGTGATGGCTTTTAAGAAAGCAAGGTACGCAAAAGCCATCACAGGCTTTTATTTCTCACGCCTTTCTTCTCCGTCCAGTGTGTTCCTCAAAGAATGCATGGAAGAGTACACTGCAACGTACGATGACAAGCTTCTCGACTACAATGGCGCCGACTTGCTCACTCGCGTCGCAAGTAGCGCGATCCCTGGCCAGAGTAACCGGACATGGCAAGAGAGCGAGCAAGAGTTACGCGTACTTCCATCGTCCTCGTTCTTTCCTTTAAGTTCCTCCAACATCAAGAGGTAAAGAAAGAAACGATGCGAGACTTCTTCTTTGGTGGTTTAATCTTTTCTTGCTTTGCAGCTACTTCTACGGCAAGAGGAATAGCAGCGAGAGTTATGGAATGGAAGACGATCGGAAAGTGAAAGAAGAGGCTTTATTACTACTCGATGGCGCGTACACGCTCCACTTGTGGAACCCCGAGACAAAGTCGCTGGTTCCAGAGAGCTACAGCCTCGTGGGATTCGCGCTGGAGCAGCACTGCATCTGGTGCAGTGACGTGATCTAGACGATGGATGATCGATCGAGAGAAGCTCGATCGATCGTTCGCTTTGCTACGGCAAGTAAGTAACGTCTTAGGCGAGCTCTTCTTTCTCAAAGCGACGACGGGAAAAAGCTCGCCTAGGCAGTAAAAAAGAGTAACAAAAGTGTGAGAAGTGATGTATTGTAATCTAGCTATAGGCTAAAAGCGCTATAGAACAAAGCTAGCAGCGTTTTGTACATATCTATCTATAAATCCAAGCACTATCAACAAAAGATCTCACTAGTCACGAAACTTTGATCCATCCACTCTTCTCTTTTGGAAGTTCTTTCATTCCAACGATTCCAGTATTGACTAGCGCAACCTGGATGACATCACAAACCAACAGTGTGGATTAAAGAAAGAGTAGCAAATGAAGAACGTGGCCAGACCAGAATTACTTTTTTACCAGTGGAGCCCGGCTTCTTCGCCGTTTGCGGCCACCCTGGCGATGCCTGGCGATGTTTTTTTACTGTTGCCATTCCCTGTTTTTACAAGATCTAATGGAACTCTACATACCGGTGTTTGATCTATGGAGCTCACGACACTTGCCAAAAGAAAGCCTCTTGCGAGTTAAACTTTGTCCACGCTGCCTGGAGAGGCACAAAGCAAATAGTTTTAAGCACAAAAGATAGTGCATTGTCAATATTATTTCCAAACCTTGAGTAAATCGAAGACCTTCTCCGCGATGAGCTTCTCCTGCGTTGTCCTTTGCTGGATCTTGTCCGGATGGACACACAACGTGGCCCTGCGGTACGCTTTCCTGATGGAAGCCTCGTTGCTTAGCTCGGACGATGCCACGGGCTGCCAGCCGCTCCCTGGCCACAGTACCTGGCACAAAGATATCACCGTCAAACGCAATCCTTGCAAGAAAGGCGGTGCTGTATGCTTCTGGGAAAACTCACATCGTGCAGGCTCGATAAAAGCGCTCGCAAGTTGCCTTCCTTACCAGCGACCCACGCACTTATTTGAGCGTCCACGGTAGAAGAAACTCGCTGAATGCAGACTTAACAGTGTGAGTTGAGATAAAAGCCTGATCGGAAGTTACCTGTCGCTCCTGTTGCTCTTGTTGAGCAGTCTGCTCACGTTGGTTTTTCTCCGCCAGGGCCTTCGCCTAATCAAATGACTTAATACTCTAGAGTTCCCATGCTGTCAATAAACTAGTAAATTTGTACGTACCGCGCGCTCCTCTAGTGCTTTGTCGGTTGATTCTCTTCTCTGCTTCTTATCTCTATCGAGATTCCCTGAATGGGCAAATGTCAGTGTCATGTCTTCTGAGAATGCTGGAAAAGCAATACCATTGGGTACAGGGTCGGTAATGCTTGGGGAGGTTTCTGTTTTATTGGGAGGCCTGCATTGTTCACCGCTAAAGAACACTTTCTTCGCATTGCGCTCAGCTTCATCCTGCACAAGTAAAATTCTTGTTAGAGAAGACAGAGAAAGAAAAACGCTCAACTCTTTACCGAGACTCGCTGCTTTGGAGCGCTTGTTGACCGTCCATTCTCCACACCCGTAGCAGCCACAGCTCTCTCGGCAGCTTTCTTCAAAGCTTTCTCTCTAAGTTCGTGCGCAGCCCTCTCGACAGCTCTCTTATCGATATCCCCCTCCTTTCCTGCTCCGCGATTGCCAAAGTCGTTCACCTTCCCTTCGCTTCGCTTCTCACTCTCAGTCGTTTCAGGAAAAACCTCTGCAGACTTTTTCTTCTGTTTGAGTTTCGCCTCTGCTCGTTCCACAGCTTCCTTCATAGCCATCGCCGACGAAGAAAGACCAGCGAAATCTTCAGCTTGTGCCAGAGGTGGAGACATGTGTACCGCTGCTTCCTTCAGATTGGAACCTTTGCCTAGAGGAAACTCGCAAGAGTTTCTACGCCACCGCTCATCTCTCTTAAACTTTGACAAACCGTTGAACTCCTGCGCCTGCTCCACCATCTCGGGAGGTGCTCGCTTTGGAGGAGGGACATCCGTTGGCTGTGTCACAAGCTTCAAATCCCCAATCGTGAACCACGATTTTGCTTTGGCCTTGTCCTCCTTCTTCCCGAAATCTGGAAACAACACTGCCTTGAGCCTCTCCGTAGCACTCTGCCTTTTCGACTTCCGAGGCGAAGAATTCCCAGCTCCTGTATCCGACTTGTTCTTGCTGCCATTCTCCCTAGGCAGCAACCCCTCTTCGGATTTTTCTTTTGCACGATCTGTCTCGTGCTTTCGTGATTGCTTCTCTGCTGCCTCCAAGCCCCCTGGCATCCTGTTCAGATGAGCCTTCATCTCTCCTGCTTCCGAGGTAGCACTGTTAGCCTTCTCACCTGACCCCAGCCTTGGAGAGCAGCTGGAAACACTTGGCAAGCAGGAAGGCATCACTGTTGGTGGTGGAGGCGACGCGACTTTCCCTATATCTGGATCTGCCAACAATGCCGAATTCTGAAAAGAGGAGCTACCTTTGTCTTGCGGAGAAGCTGAAACCTTCACGGCATACGGTGGCGCCTTGTTCTGTTGCGTTTGAGAGCCGCTGCTATCAACACGCTGATTTGGTCGGTCACAACTCCCTCCGGCACCTTTCACGTCTGTACCCGAATTCCGGAGGCGAGAGGTACCGTGAGGTCCGCCTGACGACGACGACGAGCTCTCCCGTCCAGCCTTTGGCGAAAACAAGGTTGGTGGTGGCGAGGTATCAGCGCTGGTTTTGTTGTTGCCGCCGCTACCACTGGCTTGGTGTTGAGATTGGTTTGTTTCGGCATCACACCTGTCGCTACGCAAACGCACAAACACTATTAAAGACGTCTGGTATATCCTACCTATAGAGTTTGAAACATCAGTGACGCATGAAGTACGGCACACAGTGATCCTCGAAGAAAAATACTCGAGCTCCAAGAAGAAATCAAAGCAAGGACCCTCTAAACTATTTCGTAAAGAGCGAAAGGATCTATAGCACCAAACACGAACGCACCAAATGGATAAAAAGCTCTCCAGGAAAAAATCAAATGAAGGAGCCTCTAAAGCATTTCGTGAAGAACGAAAGGATCTATAGCACCAAATGATAAAAAAGCTCTCCCTGTGCTAACGGGCAAAACACGATATAGGGATAAAAATTCCTGGAAAGAATTCGTCCAAGCAAGGAGAAGAAACAATGCACAAGAGCTCAAGAAATCCATGCCCCAAAAACGATCCAAGCCAGCCAAGACGAAAAAGATCTATATATCCATACCTCTTTGGTTCGCCAGTCACTGTGTTGAGCCTCCGAGATCCCAGCGGCGAAGAGGAGCTCCGCTGATGCGTCGGGGCGGCGCTGCCACCGCTGGTGGTGGGAGAAGCAGAAGCATTGCCGCCGCCGCCGCTAGCCCCAGCCATGGTGAAAATATCGTCATCGCTGCTGCCAGTCTTGCTCTTGATCCCTGGAACGCCCCCAAATATGTCGTTGAAGCCATACAGCTCCACATTCGATCGCCCGATGCATTCGAATGGCGGTGCCGATGGCTGGAACCCCGCATCGCTGCCCCCGATCTTCGCCGCCGCCTCGCCCCTGTCGGCACTGTCGGATCGCGCTCCCGCGGCGGCAGACAAATCCCCGGACGACGACGGCGAGTGATGCGCATTGATCCGACCTAGCGAGAACTCGTCGAAGAGCTTCTCCGCCACAAAGATCGGCGGCGACGCTGGCTGCTGCTTGTTCCGGGGCGATCCGCCAATCCCACAAACCCTAGAGGAGGCGGCGCCGCCGGGAGCCATTGGAGCTGTGTTTCTGGCGGCCATAGCTCGCGGGAAGTAGCTGGCGGCGCCGCTAATCAAAAAAATTTCGATTGCCGCCGTTGGATCGCCCCGCCCATCGGATCCTCATTTCGATTTTAGGGCTCCTCTTTTCCAAGGGTATATATATCAACCCTGCTGACTCAGCCCCCACGGTGACGTGTAGGAATCGACGGCACCACACGAGCCTCTGACGTGGCTTCCCGGACTTAAATCAACCGCATTTCTGTTGCAAAAATCTAGCTGGCGGGCCACCCACCGTCGGATGGCCGAGGCATCCGACGGCGCCGTACAGTAATAGCCGTTTAAAGGCATATCCTCGCGCGATTCATTGTACGAACACGCTGGGAAGAACGCGTTGGAAAGTTTCAGAGCTTTTCATAGTTTTATTTATTTGCGAGGGTGGCCCTTTGTACATGGTGAGCGATTTTTCTTTTGTTTTGTTCTAATGGTAGACTTGTGGAGAGGCGTAGTACTCACTCTCATTGAAAACTGGTCGCAAATCCTCATCGCACATAAAATTCAATGGGAAACAGACGAGATGTCCTCGAATCCCCTCAACCATGGTCGCATTACTACTAAAAAATGGAGCTTCTCCTCCGGCGTGAGAGCTATCGTCGGCCACGCCCAAGTCGATACTTACATGGTGGCCATTCTTTTCTTTCTCTTTTCGCGACGAGATTATCTGCCGCAGTTGAGTCCTGGAATGTTTTCCGGTTAAGTTCTAGTTCTCACAAACAAAAACTCCGAAGACTTACCTTGTGTGTATGGAATCGTTCGGGATGCATCCAAAAATGGTGTCATACAATCCTGTGTTGAGCTGCAGTGACGAATTCGTCTTGATGAGAAAGACGAGACAAAGAAAAGTCTAGTTTTTTGTTTCGTGTTACCTCTGCTCTTGACGTCCAAACGTCCTTGTAAGTGGTCTCACAAATAGGATCTTTGATCACGTCTGCCTGGAAAGTTTCACATGTTAGCTTCACAGAGATGTGCTTTCACTTACTTCGGACGCTTGGAAACCGAGATGCTCGACCCAGAGTGATCTTCTCAGTCCGTGAGCGAACCTTCCGGCTTTGTAAGCAGTGTTGTTCATTAAGGACGTGACATATTCTTTGTCTTCGATCACGACCGCGATCTGGAAAGAGAATCGAGGATTAGCATCAAACAAAAAGCGAAACTTCTTTTGCTGCTTACTTCTGAATCTCTCGACCCAAGTAAACTCCTATCGTTGATATTTGCTGAGCCTATAAGCGTCACCCTATCGTCTACTATCAAAATTTTACTATGTACATATATCTGCGAGAATGGAAACAACATGAGCAACGGATGAGCAAAATTTCTTGAAAGTTTGCTAACCTGATTAGTTACAAGTGGCCCGTTTTCTTTCAGCTTGCCGTGTTGTCTCAGGCCGTAAAAACTAACAAAATCTCCCACTGCGTCCCCCATAGTGTCTCTTAGACGCTTCAACAACGACGAATTTCCACGGCATATGGTTCTATATTGCCAATGAATGATGGCTCTAACGGATGCTGCTCCTGTATCATCGACACCACCCTACAAAAGGAAAACATGTTTAAATGTCGCCATTTAACGAGTTTGGAACCTTACCTGAAAACCAGGAAGCAGTGGCAACAGTATAATCACCCTGAAACACTGTTTTTCTTTGTACGCACGTAGTATCCTTGTATAAAGTGATTCCAAAACACGATTTTGAATCACGGAATCGCCATCCAGTCCAGAGATAAAGAACTGGTTCTGAATGAAAGATGATACGTTAGGAGACATCATATGAAACAGTGTCGAAAAGTACCTCGATATAGATGAAGTGCTCGGCTTTGTCAATCAACGAGCAATATGCAGCTTCTATGCTCCGCTCTTCCACCTGGCTTGTTCCGGCAGACCACTGTCCAACACTTCGAACCACCTGACAGTTGCATTTAACTCGAGAACCGACTTCCTTCACATCCTCTTGAGGCGAAGGATTATCTTTCTCCCACCAATCTTCTGCACTACCATTCGCATCATACCACTTCACACCGTCTGGACCGTCACTGGCTACAAAGTTGAGCAATGGTAGATCAACGCTGCTGTTGCTACTGTTAAACTTGCTGAATCTTGCCAGTAACTTCGAATGTTTGCTGTTGTCCGCCAGGAGGTCTTTCAGCTCCTCAGTCTGATCCGGTGCTTCTACGGCGGGTAGAAGCGTTGGTATATCATCGGTAGATGACCTTGGTTTCAAGGACGCTTTTCTAAGCTCTTCCTGCGCTTCCATGAGAGCCTCTTCTGCCTCCTTACCAGTAAGGTAATGAGGAATAACCATATGATGATGCGGCAGCAGTAGAGGTATGGCTTGTTCATTGGGTGCCTTGTTTCTCTGGGAACAAAACACTACAAAATTTCAGAAACAGATATTAACACTGGTCCCTTACCTTTGCATAATTCCAACGCTGGACAAAATGCCTTGCGACATCCCGACAAGCTGGACCCCATATTGCACACTGAATATCATGCCAAGGCATACGAGGTGTTTTTTGCCTGTTAATCTCGTCCTTTGTTGCATCTTCCCAGGAGTTTGGCTCTGATTCCCTGGAAAGCAAGGGGATTTTTCTAAGAAAAAAAAATCGCTGATAAAATCTAGAAAAGATACCTGGGATTGTAGTAGTCCTTCCCGGGCCAGATAACAGCTTGATCATCCCTCAAAAGATGGTGAGGGTCATCATACCGTCCAAAACAGAGGTCCAAACCTCCTAAAAAACATATTCTTTGATCGACAATCACAATTTTTTCGTGGTGCGACCTAAGAAGATGTTGGTATAGAAAAAATAAAAATAAGATCCTTACCACAAATAAACACCAGAAGAGAAGTGATCGGGATATCTTAAAACTTTAATGTTTTCGTGTATTCCAAGTAGCTTTCTTTTCGTGTACAGGCTGTTGATTTTCAAAGCCAAGGCAACTTCCTTGTACAGAAGAACATAAATCTAGAAGAGAAAAAGGACGATCAAAAAGGTGAATACCAGCATAAGGACAACAAACCTGTACTCCTTCTCTTGCCTTCGCACCAAGCAAAGAATCCAACCGAGAAGACTCGTGAAGAGTAAACGGACGTCTGAGATAAAGCTCAGGACAGAACCACCAATCAGCTATAAAAATCTATATAAGAGATAGTGAGAAAAAAATGCCAAAATGAATTGTATGTTACCTCTGACTTCGCGGATGAAATCGTTGATGCAATAGCATCAAATGCCGACTTTCCATCTATGAAATATTGCGCCTTACTACCATCGCTAGTAAGTCCCCTTGGAGGAGCAAAAGAGCCAAAGCGATGAGGATGGCACCATCCTTCAGGTGGTCTTAGCCCGGCATCGTTTATAGCAGCTATCCATTCAGCCGCCCCTCGCGCACCTTTGGTTCTCACGCGAACACTTCTATTGCCGCAAGTTACCTGCAAGTCACGTCAAATTCCCAAACGGATGCAAGCCAGTCAAAACTCACGGCAAATCCAGATTGTAGACGACTCCTCTCTGGCTTAGCAAGGGATATCTGACCTTCCGTGTTGTTTGAGAGAACATCAAAGACAATGATGTCCAAAGGTTTTGGATCGAAAGGATGAGCAAGAAAAGCGAGGAAACCAGGCTTTAATACTGCCCAAACCTGCAATTCATCAACGTTTACTTTCTTGAGACGCAAAAGAAGACGTGCCAAACCTTCATCCACCTTTCTCCACAACAATTGAAACATGAAGAAAAGCATCCCTGTTCCTTGTCGTCCAGATGGCATACCCTGACATATCCCTCCTTCAGCTTAGAGCCGTATTCTGGTGCAAACGAAAGAGCTGAGACCCCGAAAAATTTGCAAACCTGACAAACGACGATAGTAAAATTGCATAGAAACAAGCAGGCGAGACTAACCGCTTCACTGTTGAGCAGCTCGAGATTCTTGACAAAATGATCGAGGTATGTTTGCATCTCTGAAATGGAATTGTCTGCTATGCTCGGCAGTCTTCCCAGCGTTGGACGAATGACGGGAAGTGCTGCTGCAGAAGGAACGTCTCTGGAAAAGAAACGTTAATCTGTCAATTTCTTCACAAAGACGAGAAGACGAGAAGAAGAAAAAGTTACCGTGGCATCGAATGCGCGCGAGTGATTGTTGCATCGTGTTGCTCGTAATCCTCGTGAGCTTGAGCGTCCCAAGACGATTGTAGCTTTTGTATCCATTCGATGATCTAGTCGCCAAGACAGCGAAAAGAAGGGTAAAAAACAATCCGAGAAAAGAAATCGCGAGCCTAGAAGCTTACTTTCTCATGCTTTTCCTTCAGATCCTCCAGAAACGCTCTCGTTTTCACGGCGGCGTGGAGCAATAGCGCCTGTGTGGCTTTTTTGTACACAGTCCATTTGAACTGCGCGCATCACAAGAATTTACCTCGAACGGGAATGGAAAGGTTTTACCTGTTTGTAAACCAATTCGATCGTGTATCGCAGCTCCCCGCTGCTCTGGCGGCACACCGAGACGATCGACAATTGTGGCAGCTCCTCAAACACGCTGCACCGATCGGAGGCCGATGCCCGCTCCGGGGAGCGCACGGGCATGTAGCGATTCTCGGCCATCGCGCATACAAGCCCTAAGTTCTATGACCTACTTTGCCAGAAAAGGGCCAACATTACACGGAATGTGAAGCGAGTGGTTTTAGTGAAGATAGGTAAAAAGGGCCTCTGCTTTTCTAGAAGCTTTAAGAGTTAAACTTTGTCCTATTAGACTTAATCATACCCAAAGTGGAGGCTGTTCTTTGCTCTAGTGTTTAATAAGATTGTGTTTTTGGTTCTTGGTTCCAGTTCAATCTCCTCATTCTCATTATTATGCTATGGTGTAAGATGGTGTCATTAGAGGTTTCATCTTCATATTGGTGTGTTATCTTCAGATCAAGCTTTAGAATGTGTTATGATTTGTTGGCGTTATGCTTATCTTTGGTCTTGCCATGATTATATGGTGTCTTGCTCTCTCCCATTGATGTAGAGCCACTAACATTGATTGAACGGGATGATAGTGGCAGAAAAAAATAAATAAATAAAAGTAAATAAACAAACTAACTCAGCCAAAAACGACCCTTCATACTTTCCAGGGCAGTAATTGATTCTTGATAATGCAATTCTAATGTTTTGACATAATTCCACAACAACTATATATACTAATACTTAGAAACATTTGTTTTCATTTAGATTAGGGGACTAATCCATTGTGGGTGCTGTTCAACCAGCTATATCCACTCTACAAGATAGTAGCAAGGTGAAGTTGTTTAGTCATAGATCTTTTAATGAGAAGAGAAAGTGTCATTATATAAGACTATAAAGCCAATGCTAGATACATACTTTCTTTTATTGATCAGAATTTTGTTTTTATACTTGTCCGGTTTAAATACACTTGAAATGCCCAGTTAACTCCACTAGCACAAAAGGGACTAATAAAGGGTTTAATAATATCGACTTCATGGCAGTAAAGAAAGAGTGTTCGTAAAGACAGCCAACAGGTAACTTTCAATACCCAAAGTCACATTCGCAACACTTTCCCCCCCTTAGGGAAAATCGACATCGATGCATACTTGAGTCTAGACCACTAGTAAGGAAACAACTCTAGAAAAAGTTCATGGTGATCACACTATATGATAAATGCACTAGTTTAAATGAATTAAAAGAACCTCTTTGTCTAACGCGGATGTGCTACCAACTTAGACACATTCCGACCATCACCAACAAGGAAATGACCAACAGAGTCACCCTTGCTACTTTAGGTGTCATCTAGCTTACAAAAGTGTGATATGCCCCTACCTATAGAGATTGTAGTGTAGGTGATCATGGGATGAGATTTAGATATATTGTCACTGTGGATTCATGGAACCTTGGGGGATAAATGGGGATAAAATAGCCACTAAGGGTTCTCTCATTAAGCAATTGCCCCTCTTCTAGTTGGTTTTAAGGGATAAATGGGGATAAAATAGCCACTAAAGGCTCTTTCATCAAGCAATTGCCTCTTTTCCAGTTAGCTTTAAGGGGAGAGAGATAAAGTGCGTTATAGGGATATAGAGAAAGAAGTTAAAGGCCCTAACTCTTCTGAGCAAAGAAACTAAACCTGTTAGTAAAGTTTAAATATACTATTGTAAATAAGCAATTAAAGTTGTTTACACAGTCACACCCTTTGGACAGAATAAGGAACATTGACAAAGAGGCGGGTTATATGACTAGTCGACAATAGTTACCTCATGACTAAAGATTTCACCATATATACACTAAAACCAATCTGCCTATACTGACCCAAACTCAAAGATCAATAGATGGACAATATTAAAATTATAGACAATGCTATCTAAGAGTCTTAATTATTAGTGAATAAAGCTTAGTTTAGAACACAAAAGTATTCTAAGTAAGTTATCATCCGATAAACTAGTATAAGTACAGTAACTACCAAAATCAACATAATTAGAAAATATAGGATTTACTATCTAACAAAATTTAATAACTAGTATATTATCAAGAAAACTTAATTATCAAAGATTGCAGATAGCATGCCAAACAACTTACAAAAGACAACTCAAAGAACACAAAGTATCATCGACTGGCAAGCAAAATGCTCATGAATGTATTAACCGAAGGAAATAACATCCCAAATCTATCAGAACTAACTTGAACAATAATCAATAGAACAAAATGAATGTGGCAAGACCAACAAAAGCCCAGTCATACCAACTATCACAAAAGCCAATTTGAATAGATCCCAGTCAATAATACAAAGGAACTCAAGTTGCTCAAACAAACATTAGCGACATCTTATCGATATCTTAAACCCAAGAGACCAATCTAAAGAAAACCATAAGGAACATATGGTAATGCAAAAAGCCATAAGCCATTAAAGAGAACAACTAACCATCATAAAAGATCATTAATCCTCCCATCAAATAAGAGATGCATAATCATCATTGAAGAAAAAATCTACCATCCCGAAGAATGGCATATCATTCTACATTAATGACAACCAAGCAAATATTTTAATAAGAACAATCAATTATCCCAAGATGATAGTCAATTAGCACTAATGATTGCTAAATGCAAATACTAACTTTAATATTGAAGCTAATAAGCCAAAATGCCTTTTCCAACAACTTCAAACAAATGAACTACAAGCATGAAAACTTAAAGAACCAAAAGCTCAAAGAAGTTTATAATTAAGTTTTGCTTAGTAATGATCGTGAGTCTTGCATGAATTAACTTCAATGCTAAAGAAGAAATCATGGTACAACCCACAATATCTCTCTCAACACATCAATAAGTTAAACTTCATAATGCTAAAGCTAATGAAGAGCATTTCTGCATCAATCCAAAAGCTAATCATAACAAAGTAATGTTCAACAAATGATCATCTAATTGATCCTCCATGAATCCATTTATAGCAAGACGTAACTCACTTTATAATAAATATAAGAAAAATCATTAATGATCGATATAAAGGATTCAACATTTTCAATATTGATCACTAACTCTTCCTCTCGTAAAGTTAGTATAGTCCACGATTAAATCACATTTTAACGAAAATTTAAAGCTCAACCCCTACTAAACAATCTTGTCTAGAACACAACTAACTCAACTTGTTACTCAATTCATTTGAACGTCAACACAATTGCTAACTAGCAAATGCACGAATGCTAACAACATAAAGCTACAATTAAATCATCAACACTATCTTTATCGAGACTAATGAAACACAATATTAATCTTACGGAAAAACATCTCATCCCACTTGAATCTCAATAATAATAATATCAATGACAAGCATCACTTCATTGTCATTAACACTAGAACAAAGCTAGAAGAAAGTGAGAGTGAATCACCACTCAAAGCTATTTAGCAACCAAGCCAAAGTCAAAGATACTTTAGTCAGTATTTGAGACCAATCCTTTAACAATACTTAGGTTCAAATAACACATCACCAAAGAGTGATTCACCACATCCAAGACTTAATGAAAGCCAACACCATGGGCTAAACATAACCAAATGACATTGTGAAAAGTAGAATTTATATGCCAATATGGAAAAACCATATAAGTCTAATGACATAATTCTCTGCAACACCATTTGGTAAAACAAACCCTTTACTGTTAAATCATCATCAAGTGAAGCAAATGTTATAGTCTTCGATAAAGTTTACAAGTAATCATTAGTTGCAAAGCAATTAACAATCACTCTTCAACTTGCCTTCATAAGACTCAAACACTAACTGTTGTTATCAAATCATATATATGTCCAAAATGAATGTAATACCCCATATATGAAATATTGGCTCATAGACAAGCACAAACTAAATAACTATTTGAATCCAACTCAACCGCAATAAGCTCACTAATGCATTTAGCTAATAGCTTTGAGCATGCCTTGAAAAAGCTAACTATGTATAATCAACACTTAGTCAAAACTAAAGTGAAAACCCCAAAATGGACTCATATTGGTACACAACCTCCTTATAGACAAAGTTATCATATAGATATTAACATTTCAACCTCTAAACAACTAAGTTGGACATTACCATCCTCAACCAAGGCATAGGGCCACTAAGACCAAATCAAAATTAGTGAGAGCTCATTACTCTTATAAAGTTTAACAAAATGCAAAGTGCAACCTGCCACCAAGCACAAGGTTACAAAAGAAAGGCACAAGGGTCAGCTTTCTAGAAAAGTGCAATAACCACTTTTCTACACCAACTCCAGACTTTATCCAACTCAATTGCCTTAGCCTCAAAAGTCAGCATCCCTTTCGGGTTGCATTATATAAACTACCTACTAAAGTTTAAGCTAACTGATGTCAACTTCAACCCCTTCATTAGCTTGTATTGACTTAAGAAAATGAAATGGTTTTCAAGCAAAGTGATTAACGAATTAGCCATCGGAAAAGCCTAATAAAATTTGTGGAAATTTTCCCATTCTAAAGAAAGAATGACTCTCAGTCTAGAAATGCAAATTTTCAAGACTCAACCAACTTCTTCCCACTAACAACTTCACATAAATTCACCTCAACACAAATTTTTATAACCCATAGTATGTTTAAACTTTGAACATCATACCCATGTTTTTGATATCCAACATCGAGATCTACAAAATGCAAAATGAACATCTAAGGCTTGATCACAAAAACCATACCTTTAGATTTCTACATTGCACTAACACTTTTCTTCAATCACCTTTAAGATCCAACATGAAGCCAAAACACTAATAAGGAAATGGCATAGAAATCAAAGTCTAAGGAAAATTCCTCATCATTTGAAATACAATGCCACTTTCACTAACATAAGTGCTAGCAATGTCAATACCTCAACTATACATCTTTTCCATCTAACAATCTACTCCAAGTGGTAATAGATCAATTGACAAACCATAATAAATGAATGTTATAATTATTTTCTAACACTTTATGGGCAAACTTAAGGAAACAACATACTAACTCAAGCTTAGCATAATGGATCACCATTGAGAACTTAGTCAAAGCTACTTTAATGCTATTGCTTGCAAATAGACTAGCTTCTCCATTAACCACTTTGGGGTTGATTCATCATTTAATCAAGTAACTTTATAAACACATTGCTTATGACTACATGGATATGATATAAG